CGCCGGATATACACATCACCCACATGCATGCTAACTGCAAATCATTGTATCAAGAATGTGGTCCATCCTTTGATTTCACCAGAGAGAATCCTGTTGAAAGCTGATACTCGTGCTCATGAAAGCATTAAAAAAAAAAAACCAAAAACCCAACAAACCAACCCACACACAGAAACGAAGTTGGGATGAACTATTAGATAATACTGCATCTTCAAAAGTAAGCTGAATTTTCTCTTTCCCAGATGACTCCCTATTTCACTGAAACATACATTCATATCTTAAGATATGAAATCAAAAGATTTTGTGATCAGCTTGTGTTTGATCCCCTCTGGCTTCTCATTATAAACACAAAATTTTTTCTAAGTGTGAAAAATGAATGAAGCTGAAATGGCTCAGTATTAATATAAGGATAGAGACAGTCACCCAAGGAAGGGAAAGGGAGTCAGACATAGATTTTTTAAATCTACAGTTGATTTAATCTAGAATTCAGGCAAATCACTTTCTGCTCCATTTCCGTATTTGTAAGAGCCAAGTCTTCTACAGCAGAATTAATTTTTAAAGCAAAATTTGAAATACTGTCTAAAACTGATGGCTCTGCATGGATTACTCTAAGGAACCTATTACTCCTTCTGTTCCCCCTCCTACAGAGTTACCTGCTTATTGTGAAAGGACCTGAATGCCAGGCCCTGTACCTTCCTAAATTGTTTGGAATTGGAGAGGGTCTTCTCTCTGTTCTTCAATCTTAGGATGCCGTCCCAGCTCAATCTGAAATCTTCCTCACCATGTAAGGCTTTACCACCACAATTCTTGCTTCTCCATTTAAAAGAAATTAACTATCTGAGTATTTGGTGAAAAATCCATGTGTTGAATTGCATGTGCCTTTAGGGCAGTTTTTGCTTTCTGGTTTCTAGAAAAAAGACGACAGTCAGCTTGGGGCTATATTAAGAAAGATGGAAGGAAGAAAAAAAAATTGTTTTAGCACAGTAGAGTCACTAACCTTATCAACACAGAACTTGTCTCCAATCTTTTCGAAAACCAGACCTCAGCCACATCCTATTGCAGGAGACACAGGCTGGTGACTTGTACTCACCCCCAGCCCTAAGGAACAACAGCTCTGAACGGACTCAGAGACGGAGAGCAAGATAGGACTGTACAGGATATTAGTCTCGCGCTGCATGCCGGAGGGAAGGCTCTGTGGCTGTGACAGAAGATGGCAACCCAGCTGATAAGAGGAAATAGTAGAGACACATACACAAAGCAATTTTATGAGGGAAGCTATGAAGACACCAAGCTTACAGCTAGAGGCAAAACCAAATAGTAAACAAGTTTGCTTAGGTCTAGGGCTACTGTGCTTTGGCATATGCAACTGCAATCCTTCTTTTTCAGTTTGATTACTTTGAGTTTCCTGCCCATATGACTTTTTTTCCCCACGGGCTGTATTTATTTCACTGAAGACAGCTTTTTCCTGGCAGAGTACTGTATTGTGAAGTCTTTGGTGACTTCTACAATTTAAACACTGTAGATTACAGACTGTCACCAACGCCTCCAGCAGACAGATAGGATGTGAGAGCACAGTGGTACTACAAGCATTTACAATTGGATTTTTCCCCCTCCCCGCCTTTTTTCGTATCAAGGTGCTAATCTCCTCTTCAAGTACAAGCCATTATGTTGTGGATTGGAAGTGCTTATTCCCGATCTAAAGATTGAAGGTTGCTGGAGGCAGAATCCAGATTAATTATCAAAAAAGAATATGTACTTCTACTCCATTAACAGTTATTCACAGACAGAATTAGGCATCTAGCTGAGAAACAGCCTCACTGGAAGAAGAGGTTCTGCAGCAAACTGAGTGGCTCATTTGTTTGATTTTTGACACAGATTACCACAGCAAGAATTTTCACCAAACATCTCAATTCAATACCTTAAACTCATAACAAAGGTCTGGTCTGCAAATATTTATGTACTTGTCCAAGTTTCCTAATAGAAGTAAAAGAACTGTCATATAGAGTCATATGAAAGAACTGACAACTGGCAGGCATGTGCACTTGTAGGATCAGGTTCTTAGAGCATATAATCATGTCAGTTGGAAGACACTTCTGGAGGTCATCTAGACCAAAGTCCTGCTCAAAGCAGGACAAATTACACCAGGTGGCTCAGGACCACATGCAGTTGTTTAGTGTCTTGAGGATGGAGATTCCGTAACTTCCCTTGGTTCCTGTTCCAATTTCTGACTTCTTGTATGGTGACAATTTTTTCCTAATGTCTAATCAGAATTTTCTATACACCAACTTCTCTCTGTTGCCTCTTTCCTATCCCTATGCCCTCTGAGAAGGGTCTGGCTCCACCTTCTGTATACTCTCCCATTAGATAGTTCAGGACAGCAGAAAGGTCTCCCTTAGCTCTCTCTTCTTAAAGCTAAGCAAACCCAGTTTTCTCTCCTCCTACCCCTTGTGCTCCAGCTCCCGATCTTGGTGGCATCTGCTGGACTCACTTCAGCATGTCAATGTCTTTCTTCTACTGGGGTGTCCAAAACAGACACAGAACTCCAGATGCGGTCTTATAATTACTGAATATAAGGGAACACTTACTTCCTCAACCTGCTGGCTTCATTTTACTAATGCAGCCCCAGATGCAGTTGGCGTTCTTTGCCACAAGGGCACACTTCTGGTCAACCTGCTTTTGAACAGAACATCCATCCCCTTTTCTGTGAAATGTTTTTTCAGTCAGTACTACTGCATGGGGTTATTCCAACCCAGATGGAATACCCAGTCACACTTGCCCTTGATAAACTTAATGAGGTTTAGTTCAGCTCATTTCTCTTGCCTGTCAAGGAACCTCTGAATAGCAGCAGTGCCCTCCAGCATATCCTAACCTACCTGGTAATCTACACTGCTCTTGATGGAAGCAGCTATTCTGAAAAGTCAGGCTCCTTACCTTTGTAGAAGCAGTAGATTTTACAAAATGTATTTATTGATTCCCTTTGCTCTGAACATGCTACATGCTCACATTAGCAGCTTTCTGAATGTCTTATGAATACAGAAGTGTTGCCTCTATTTTCTTCTATGGGTTTGAGCTCCTTCTGCCATCACCCAGGATGCATCAGCCCCCCATCCGACTGGTTTGGTCAGTGCCAGAGGGTAACATCAAGAAGTACCTAGGCCACAGAAGAGAACTTAGATGATTTGAACTAAAAAAACCGTCACGCATAGGGACCGTGCAGAAGGACACAGACTGATACTGAACTGAGACAACACGAAATGTTACAATTCAGTTCTACAAATGCTGAGAAGGTTCAGATCAGGAATGTTTAACTATCTTATATTAATAAGAAACCCTGGGACAAAGCATCATAATGGAAATCCTTTCCAAAACTTTGTTCCATTACAGATCAACATTTTCATCTGACACTGGATGGAAACAACTTTTCTTGAAATAAGTGTTTCTCATCACATGAGAATTCTTCGTTTGTTTGTTTTTTTAAAACCAGTGCTAGACTAGTAAGAATAGCCTAATTCACTGTCAAGAAACATTTACCATGATTTCTCATGAGAGCTAAAAAGGGAACAAAAGTTTTGTCACAGAATAATTCAAACAGATAAATCTTATGGCACATTTCAAAGGCTGACATCAAAGCAATTTTATGTAGACTCTCTTTATACAGTAAATAGTTACATATAATATGCATGACAAAAATATGACAGTTTCAGTATTTAATATTTAATATCCAATTTAAACATAAGTATTCAAAAGGAAATATTTTTACACCATTTCAGTAGTCACTTAGCTCAGTAGTTGGTTGCAATAATCCATACTGTTTTCAGGAACTGGATGGAGCTATAAGCATAAAAACTCCCATTAAAGTTAATGCATGACAAAATTCCACTGCAACCCTCTGAAAAGCAAAGAGTTACATTAAAAGAAATACAGACACTTGAAGTACATTGAAATGTATCGTGTCCTACAGTAGCGTTTGATACTCTACTGGTCAGAAACATGATGGTAACTTCAAAAGGCACTCTGAGTTAAACTACAGTAACTCCGGTCCACAAGCATTTTAGAATCTTGGTATTGTATAGTAGAAAAACCCTATATTTATTCAATATAAATTGCTTTAATCTCTGTTCTAGCCCCAGAGCAGTCAAATTATATTGCACTTTTAAAATATTTTGCGTAGGCTGTGATAAAAATCTAATATTTACATGTTGTGTTTGTTAAAGAACAATGCATTACTTTGTAAAGTATTTTAAGAACCAAGTTTTAACACTTATTCTTGCATTACTAATATAACCAGAGGCTACACCAAGTATGTATTTTTTTTATTAGCTCCTATTCTAGAAACAGTTTTGGTCCTTCAAAAAAATTTGCTATGCTGCAATTCATGTTCACAGCTAGTATCAATGTTTGCCTGAAATTGCAGTAGTTAGAATATTTAAATAAATAAATATATACTTTCTAAAGAAGTAATAGCTTTGGAGTTTTGTAAACAAACTGCTGTGGAAAGTCTGTAAAAAGACTCAATTTGGCATGTTATGACTTTAATTGGCAATACTTTAGAGTTATACAACCTCTGCCAGGGTATAAAACAGTTTGGTAGGCACATCTTATAAATCAGTCTGGAAAAAAAATCCCCAAAAATACTGATTGTTCCTTAGGTTGTATGAATAAATAAAAATGGTCAAAGAGTAACAAGATCCACTGAAACCAAAATTGACATTTATGTGATCCGTAGGGGGAAAAAGAGAAAAGCAATTCTATTCTTTTTTAAATACAACCTAAAGGAAATGAACAAGCCATAAATGAATATATGATAACCAAGATATACAAGACACAAAGGCTGGCAGAATAAAATGAGCATTATAAATTTATAGAAATACTGATCTAGACAGAACTGGTATTTTAGCTGCATCACACCAGAAGACAATCATCATTCATTTTTCAAACCAAAGTTGAAGAAACATTCCAAATCTGTGTTTGGTAAAACAAATTCAGTGCAATGCACTAGCTCTGATGAAATTTTGCTGACATCTAGGTTGCCCTACATTCCGTTAAAACATGAGTGGTAACATAAACAAAACATAACAACAGATGTACAGTTATGCCATTTACATACAAATATATGTATATGCACATTTTAGAAATTCAAATGATGTCAGGAGGTCTCATAGGCTGTGTTGGATATATTTTATATAGTACAGTTGTAGTTTACATGTTCAATTTCATGACATACCCAAAGTGCTCTACATATGCACCCCCCTGCTTCTCTGTAGTTTTTTATTCTATATAGAATAGCTTTCTTTTGGTTTTCATCACTAAAAACTGACAGTTTGAGAGAGCAAGGAAAAGCTACTCACAGGCTTTTGTGGAAAACACAAGATTTACTCTTTAAGATTGTTATTGATTGATGAAATGATTAAACGTTTCTGTTCAAAACCAAGAACCATGTTGGTAAGCTTGCTGTTAGCAGAGACTAAGAGCTGTCAGAATATCTAATTTAAAAGCCTAGTCTGTGTAGTTAATGGAGCCTTCAAAGGGCAATTGAAAATCCTTCAATTCAGTAACCTATCCTTTCTCATTGCCCATACAGAGAGATGTTTCTGAATTTCGTAATGAAAATTCCTCTCCTTCCCTTCCTTCCAAAGTAGAGAATTAGAGTAATATCCAGTGCTACACCAAATTAAACCTCTGTCCCATCACTAATAAACTGCATACCTTGCAAGCAAAGGTCAATGTTGTTTGAGAGGAAAAAAACCAAAAACTTGTATCAAGAATTACTATAGCTCATTAAATAACTACACAATGTGATTCGTCCATAAGTTAAACAGTTAAGCTGCAACTGTACTATACTTTAGCATATACATTAAACTTAATTGTAACTGAGTTAACAGCCACATTTGCCTTTTTCTTGCTCCTCATTCAGTTGTTCTGTAGAGCTGTGCCCATTGGAGCGCACCACCCCTTCTGGGATCCAGGATTTATCCACACACCGTTCCATGCGCTTCATTATGAGGTCAAGCAGAGTTTCAATGGCTTTGCTTACATTATTCCCATTAGCTGCACTCGTTTCAAAATATGGTATTCTGCAGAAGACAAAACCCACAAACTTACATCACACAGTTTATATTCATAGGAGCAAAACCAATACATGCCTACTGCCACATACTTAGAAATCACACAAACATGGTTACTGCTGCTCCATAGCAGAAAGACACTAAGTGGTCAGTGGTCTGAAATGCAAAAGAAATTAATGAAATGGCTGATTCTGTAGGTAGGGCAGAAGGATAAGCTTTAGTTTACATCGTGGAGTCCACAATTTACAGAGGCACTGTAACTGTAAATGTTACAGTGTATATCCAAAATAACTTCCCAAAGCTATGCTCCCGAGGTCTGTTTTTTCCAGCTCCCTTCCCCACAAGAGATGCAATTACTTTATATGGCCTTGTGTGCGTAAGTGTTCTCCTTACTGATTTCTATCTACATCAGCTAGGGTGTCACTGCAAGAGAGGGAATGCTAGTATGGACGTAACCCTGCAGGCAAGGCAGTAAAGACTCCTAATGTGGTACTCTTTTCACTACAAAAGGTGACTGTTTCTTCTGCTGACACTTCAACTATAGACTCACTTACATACAAAAAAACCCCCACTGCTCAGACCACCTATTAAAAAGGTTTCTGGACACCTTGGTATTGAAGGTATTGAAAACACATTGCTAGTTTTCATTATCGTTGTGGGTCAGGATGTTTCAATGGCGGGTCTGAAGGCTTTTGACCACAGGGTGGTGCTAGCATGGCTGCAGTAGTGTCACTCCCCAGTAACGACCGAAACAATCACTTCATAATTTTAAGTATTTCTTACTTAACTTGCAAGTTAAGCCAGACCGCATGAGCAGTCAAAAATATTATATTACTGTCTCAGTGTGTAGGTTTCCTGCAATCGTTTTCAAAATATGTCACTTACAAGTACAAGCCCTTTCCAGAGAGAGTGGATATTCACTATCTCACACACTTCTTACCAGAAGATTGTTTGCTGCAGCAGGATTTATCTTGCTTCCCCTCAGGAGCATTTGGGAAACTAACTGACTCCTAGCAGCTATCCTGTCTCACTTCTACAGGGCAGAGAACTTTGTAACTGCCTACAGATTGGACGTGATCTACACCCTTGACTTTTAGCGACCTATTCCTAAATTAAGTTGGCATTTTCAGCCACAAAGATAAACATTTCATAAATTATTTCCAGAAGGTGAAGTCTCATGCAAAGAGATCTCTTTCAAATCTTTAAGAAATGGCTACATGCCTTCTGCTGCTGTTCAGAAGTTTTTGCTCCTTCACAAGCAGCTGGTTAAAGTACCAAATGCACTTGCTGTTGTGTGTGTGACAAGGACTTCAACCATGCATTTTCACAAGTGAATGAAAAAGTAAGAAGGTAATATTGCACTAAACCCATTTGTCTCTAATAGACAGTTTGCTCCTGATTTGCCTCCAATGACTCTTCAAGGTCAAAGAAAGCTAATTTGTGATTACGTGATAGGAAACACAACCTGCAGAACAAGTCCTTAGCACTGAGGACCTAGTGTTCAAACTGTGCAAGTTTTGTGGGCTTTATTTTGGACCAGCTCTAATCTAGTCCCTCAGACTGAATGCAGATTACTGGTCGAGTTTAGTTTTCAATTGAGAAGGAATCCAGTTCACATGCTAGAAAGCTGCTCCTCTGTGTGAATCAAACCACAATAAATGGATCAGAAGATTTGCTTCAAAAGTGCACTTCTGATCCACACTGAAATGCAATATAATCCAGAGATGAGACCAATGGAAGAGTTAAGGGAGTATAACAGTACTATGGGATTAATTAGTATCTGATAGGAACAAAGATTTCACATAATTCGTTTAGGGATACATGACTTTTGCCTGTAGGGAAGGGGAAGGGCAAGGCTACCCTGTCTTCCTGCTGGTCTGACTTGGTTTTCAGACTCCCTGGGAGTCTCTGAGAGTGCAATGCCTGCAAGAAAACACTGCTGACTCCTTTGAGGCTAAGTCACTAAGAATTCACCTAAGGTACAGTCCTAACAAAATTGCTTGAACAGTTGAAGGAAGATTGAATGGGGAGGGGCCAGAGAACCGGGGAACCGTGGGCTGGGCCAGAACTGCTCTCCTGTGGGAACCCAGCACTCTGTAAGCAGACTGTCCAAATGCCAGTCAAAGAAACTGAGGCCACGTGCTTCCATGGCCATGCCAGAGACAACGGCTACTCTACAACAAACTTTTGTAAAACAACTCAGCTTGTAAATTAGGATATCATTGCTTGGTATTATTTTTGTTTTCCCTAAAATCTGATGTGACACTCATCACCTCATCAAATGCTCTTTCGGATTTCACTTTGTAAGAGACCTGGGTTTTCTGGGCCCCATAGAAAGCGTCAGCACAGGCAAGAGCAAAGAATTAGACCCGCATCATTCCCTGCCTCTCCAGCTAAATTCTGTCTCTTTTCCAGAATGTTTGTGAAAATTTACTTTGTTTACTGCCAAGGAAAGGAGAAGATTAACCAGTCTCCAGTGCAAGGTTATTGTCATACTAAGTACGGATTTTTAGGCAATGCAGAAAACATTAATCTCTGACAGGAAAAAATATACCATACCAGCCAGTTAAGCATTCTAAAATGCTTATTCTCACAATAACCTTTCAGTATACAGAAAAGGCATTATAGAAAACATTTCATTCTGCTTTAAACACAGCAATAACTGGAAGGAAGTTACTTACCCATATTTTTCTGCAAGTTCCTTAGCCTCTTCTTCTTTCACCATTCTTTGGTCTTCCAGATCACTCTTGTTTCCACATAATACAATGTCAGGGTTTTCACAATATGCATGCATTTGTAGCTGACCTAACAGCAACAACACGAATAGGGGTCACAACTTACTGTCACACATAAAGCTCACTAAAAACACTACCACATTTCAGGCAATACAAAGTTCTTCAGGAAAACGACTCTTTGAAAGACAGAAAACAAGCATGTTCTCTGTTATCTCACAGGACTTCTGCTATTGCACTGAGGAGCCAGAGAACAGGTGGACATCCACTATCATGTACCCGGTGAAAAAGCCAGGGAACAAGCCAGGGAAGTAGAAGCCTGAAAAAGTTAGCACAGAAGCTGTGTATTTGTAGCTTAAGGAGTTATGCTCACCAAGCATCTTCAGTGAGCTGCCAGGAAAGGATATACTTCCCTTTCCTGATGGATGATACAGTTTTGGAACTCCTTCGCCTAGATACACCAGCCTAGTAACATTTGCCTTCCATTAAGTTTTATTGACAAAGCTTCAGGTGAGTCAAAATAGTTTTGCATAGGCTTTCCACACACTTAAATTACTGAATATCACCAGAGTCAGGGATATGATGTTCTCTCAGCTTGCTTTTATATAGGTTAAGATTCAAGTTCAGTAGGCAAAGCTGAATTTCAGGTAAACACTAGAAGCCACCACTAGGCAGCTATTACAGCTATGAATGCAACATTTACTTTCTTTTACTAAGAAAGCTATAAAAAACCAGTATTTTCAGTTCTATTTCTCAGTGAGACTCCGTATTTACAAATATAACCCCCTTCCCGCCCACGCAAAGAAAGAAAGAAAAAAGAATAAAGAAATGCCATACTTATCCAGTTCCTGACATTCAGAAAGCTTTGCTCATTTGTCAAATCAAAGAGAAGAAGAAACCCCATGGCATCTCTGAAGAAAGCTGTTGTCAAGCTACGAAACCTAGACCAGCAGAGTGAAATTAGTTGGCTCATCTGACAAGTTACTTTGAAAATATAACTGCATATAGTCATAAAACTGAGGTAACTTAAGGCTGAATTAACTAGAATGAAATAGTCATCATAACTGTTTTGCTCACGTAGGGACTGGATAAGAAGAATTGCTAACATTACTATGGCCTAATCAAGGCCTAAGGAAGTCAAGGAGCATGAGAGCTTTAGATAGTGTCTTCTATATAAAGCATGACTTGATCAAGATTCAGAAATTAAAATAAGAATGAAATTCAAACTTCTAACAGGAATTTGTCCCCTATACATATCAGTTCTTGATTTTAAGACTATGAACCGCTAGGATGCTAGTCTTTTCATAGACAAATAGAAAAGAATCCTTTGAGGTGATTTCACCTGTTCCCAAGACCTCAACATATTTACAGAAATTTAAAGAAAACTGAAAAAAGAAAAGCTTTAAAAATATCTATATGCATTGGCCATGAAAAAAAAAAAAGAAAGTTTCCAAAAGACAAAAAGCAACAATTACAGTTTTAATGTTCTACAGTTGTAAATTACAGTTGTAATTTAATGGGTATTCATAGGAAACTTTCCATCACTGTTAAAATTAAAGGAAGCACACTTTCCCATCTTGAGTCATACAATTAAAATGTAACAATCAATAAAGAGAATTCATGTACTCGGTTCCATTTGCATGTAGCTTGATGACAACTGCCCTACTTGCTAGGTGGGGGGATGGAACATACCTTTCCTGCCCTGCAGTATCCCAGAGCTGAAGATGTATCCTCTGTCCTCTGCCACCAACACCATCTGGCCCATTGGGTCTATACACCTGTAAAAGGTAAATTTGCAAGACGGAGTGTTAGCAGTCCAGTCTCTACAGAACACAAAATAACTGACATTTGAAGTCATTAAATGCAGCAAAACTAGCATTGCCGATGCAAAGATCCCAACTACAACTCAATCCCTCTGCTTTGTAAGGCAAAAGTAATATGGGTTGCATTTTAATTTTGCATCCAACTGAGTATTTAAAAAATAAGGGTAAAAGTGAAACTGGAAAAACAGTATCCAATAGATCATGGACTCCGAAAGATATTTAGAGTGGCCATTAAGTTTCATTAGGCAAACTTAATTTTAGTATTTTGATTTTCTATTTTTTGCTATTATCTTGTATCGTGTTCAAATTAAAATGTAAGAAAGCAACAATTGGATCATGCAATCTGGCAATAAATTTGTACCAATAACAGAACCTCATTAGTGAACAGAATATATTCATAAAGACATCTCTCATAAGCTGACAAAAGATTGCTGAAAAAGAGCTGAGGGTAGATCTTATCATATCACAGCTTAAAAAGCAGAAATTGGATGATAATAATAAAAGCTGAAGAGTTTACTCAGCGTGAAAATTTAAATAAGGGCATCTGTTAGCTTTGGAAGGATCAGATAAAAAAAAAAAAGACTCATTTCTTGTTTAGAACACTTCATGTTAGGTTGTCTTCTTTACCTTCAACTGTCATTGTACCAGGTTACCAGAGTTACAAACACTACCTTTAGAGACACATAAACTTGCTGATTTTGTGGATTATACGATTCAGGTTGTGAAACCTAAATCTTATCCTGAGTTATCAAATATGCTGTAAACCCACCATGTTTACTATCCCACAAAAGGAATACTAATTTATGCAAGAGACCGGGTTCACATTTCACAAAGATATTTACTCCTTCCACTACTGTGGTGCGTGTCATCCATCAAAATGGATGCACAATGCCCGTTACCCTATCCGGACTTCTGGACACTTGGGAAATCATCAGGCTACACTGAAAAGCATTTAATACTTCTACATAAGAATGAAAAAAACTTGTGCCAACTCAATTTCTCAGTGCAGTAAGGACTAGCATCCAATTGGCTATCATGCTCAGCTTCATGTCAAAAGTACATTTGCCTAGTTTAATAACAATTCAGGGGTTACTACCTTATTTTTCACAATTCTCTAGTAGTGGTAACTGCTTGGAAAGCCAAATCAGCTCCATCTATCATGCTATCCCATTTCATTCACATGTTTTAAAACTGTTTTAAAATCAACATTGCAGTCTTTGTTCACTAGCCATTTCAGTTCACAAACAGCAAAAACATTTTTACTACAGCCCAATCCTTCCTCATAAAGGGAGTTCAACAATAAAAGTGCTACTCCAGGTACTATGTGCACAACTCACAGAGTAGATACACTCATCAACACTTGCTGAGCAGTAAGTGGTCGCTTAGAATCAGCTCTTCTTACTTTAACTTTGGGGGAAATGGAGGGACGACAACACAACAACAACAAAAATAACCAGGTAAAATGAGATTGTTTCCTTGTCACAAGATTAAGTACACAATAACTACTGATTACATGCCTACACATAAGGATCAGCAGGTTAGATTTTTAAAAAAATAGATTCTAGTCATCACCAAGACAAATACCATTAAGTAGCACACAGTTTGTGAAAACTCACCACTCTCTTTTCCCGGAAGTCAATGCCCACCGTTGTGATAAATTTGGAATTAAATTTGCCATCCGTATATTGGTAAAGAAGGCTGGTCTTTCCTACTCCAGAATCACCGAGTGCTAGAAACTTTATGAGGTAATCATAGTCCCCATCAGACATAGTGAGAATTCAGGAGATACCTTAAAAAGCAAAGCAAAAAGGATTAGTTAGTAAACAACTCTGCCAAGGCTTCTTTTGACAAATGTTTAAAATAAAAATAATTATTTGAACTACAAAGCATCCAGCAGTGGGACCAGTTCTGTACTCTTTTACACTGGTTTCACCTCAAACTCTCAATTATGCCAATTATCAATATCAAATTCAGCTGTGACTGAAAAACTGCATAGTTAATTTTATCACATTCCTCTTATTACAAAGAGAAGGCAACATAATTTTAACTTTTTCAGGAAAGACTGAAAAATCAAGGTCAAAGTATTCAAGATATCTGGAACATGAACTGCAGAATTGTTTTTAACCAGCGTGGAAGCTGGCAAAAGCTACTTAATTGTACCAGCAATGCAACTCTGACCTCACATTCACTGTGACATTATTAACATATGCAAAAATTTTATTTTTTTCCAGACTGCCCACTATATTTAAATAAAAATGACAAAATTTTTCTATTAATAGCTATTTTTCAGTCTTGAAAAAGTTTTTTCATACCAGGAGGAAAAATAACCAAGCAACATTTTGTGGTTGTTATTGATTTTGTTGGGGGTTTGGTTTGTTTTGTTTAGAGGACCAATTTTCAAAGTTTTAAAAGTTTTTATCATGATGCTAGTTAATCATTTAAACTAAATCTTGATTCTGAATTGCCATTAAATAACACACACATCTTCCCATGGCCCATACGCATTTAAGAAATTTCTCTCTATCCTTTTTGTGCCTTTGAAAAAATAACCGTATTAGTTATAGTCTCATCAAAGTGCAGTAACAGCTAGAATGTATAACAAAAATCACTGGCAAATTTCATATATACTAGAAAGAATGACGTGAGTGCACTAGTACTTTCCTGTTGAGTAGTTACTGAGCCTCTCTTCCCCCAAAACAAACAGTAGAGAGCTGCCTTATGTTGTTTTCAAAGAAATGAACATAAGAAGATAAGCCTAAAATAACCATTCTAAAAGCAACTAAAAGTGGTATTAAATTGCCTCTTATGAAGGAGGGAAATAGATACGAAAAGACAAAAAATAAGATAGATGATGAAACAAAATACTAAAAAAAGTAAAATCTGCTGTTTCAGCTGTAAATAGTTATTTTTGGAACTATCTGTAGCTTGAACTAGATAAAATTACTCATGTCAAGTCAAACACTGCAGTAGTTTGCATCAATGGCAAAACACCAACTCATTTCTTGAATAGCAACTCACAGCTTGAGGTTTGGAACAAACTCCGTATCTCAAGTACGTGGGCATCAATCACCACCATTAAGCTAAAACCATAACTATCTTTAAAGCTTCAACTTTATGTTAGTACTGCTCCTGGTTACAAGACAGAACTGTGATTAGTTGACTTAGCCATGACTGGACTTACCGCGATCAGATGCGGACGACGGTCAGATTTACACCCAGATACTCTCCAACTGAAGAGTCAGTCGAAAGCATCTGACTTTTTTTGCGATTTCCAGTTTTGAAGTCTCCCCCTCCCCAGCCAAAGCATATTTTACAGTATGCCCTCGCTGACAGTAAAACCTTGCAGGAAAGGGGTTTTAGGTGACAGAGCTCACACTCACTACCACACCACAGCCAGCTAATTCACTTTCCACTGTTGTGTTTTAATACAAAGTTTTGCAACAGAGCAAAAGATTGAAACAAAACACCTCGCTGTAATAGTTATCAGTGAGCTTTTTACATAAATACACCACAACTGCAAGCTTACATCCACCACGCAGGTCTGTAGGAACAGTATGTTCAAATGAGCAAGTGGAACAGGCAGCCACACGCTGACATAAGAACATTTTTAGAAGAAATTAAAAATCCTGATCCATTAGACACACTCACACATACTAGCAAAAGGGGGTTTTGGGTTATTGTTTCGTTTTTTAAATCCTCCCCCCTGTTAGGGAAGGGGAAAAAAAAAAGTAAAATCAGATCGCCTACCTTGCAGCTCTACAAAGGGTCTTTTCATTGAAATGCACTAGAAGAAAGGGAAAAAAATATTTTAAAAAGCAAACAAGGAGATTTTTACTAAAGACTGGATTTGATTTAGACTTCCATCTTTTATGTGGTGTTTCTTTTACGCTCAGATGTTCTCCAAGGGCAAAGGGCTGTGTAAGCTCCCTCTCTACTCAAGTACGTGTTCTTCCAGCTTCAGTACCCCTAAATTAATTGTTGCTTAAAAAGGCTTAAATGCAAATCTTAGGGCCAGTATATTATACAAAAACAAGCTAGCTTCATGTCTTTTACTATGCTATCCAACTTGTACAGAAGTATTTGCCTTGTCTTGTTGGTATTTTGTTAGCTGGCTATAGGTATATAGAATGTACTTTTAATAAAAGATACAAATGATAGAGCCACCTAATCACTGCTAATTTATGTTGTAAGAAAGGTAATTTATCTTGCGCCCTGTGCAAGACCTTATGGAGGAAGAAAGGGCGCTACAGCTCTTACTTGGAGCTGTAAGAAACTTACGGTTCAGCTGCACCCTTCCACTGGACAGAGCTGAGTGAAAGCTCTGGTTAAAACAGAAAGGTCAAGGTTAGACCTCGGGGAAGTAAAACCTAAAGGTATTCCTAGTGTCATATCTGATCTGTAGAGTATCTGTTTGGATCACTTAAACCTCAATTCTCCATATCGTTGGTAACGAATGCAATTTGCAAATGACTGATAGAGGACTAGGAGCCCTTCACAGGAAGGGCATAAAAATGCCTTCTAAAGGATTTGCTTGAAAAGGAAGTTTTCTCCTTAGGCTTTTGAAATGCACACACCTTTTACTGCACCCCATAATGTCCATTATTCAAGTATCTCCAGGGAGTGGGTCTTGTGAAACCCTGCACAGTTAACCTATCCTTGGAGACATGCAAAGAGCTATTTTCATAGCAGTTTCAAGCCTTGTCCTCCTCCCTGTACAAATATTTAAAAAGTGATCTCCACCCTCTACTTCCGAGACCTGCAGTCCTAGGGCCGAGACACATCCAGCTCCACACAACAGAAATAAGAATATATTCACAGCAAAGTATATTCATAGCAAAAACTGCTGTGGATTTTTTAAGTAACTGCTCTGTTACTATAAACCCATCCCATTTTTTCCTTCCAATTTTGCATTTTTTAAAATTAGGCTTTATAGCTTCACACCTTCCAGTCTTACCTTCCACATTTCTATACCTCGTATATCAGGACAGTGGGAGGTAGAAAAGGAAGAATCAGAAAAAATTGATGATACAGTTAGAATTCATCAGGTCACCAAAAGAAAAAAAAAACCTGAATTCATTTTAGAATAATCATTCCAAAATCTTGCTTCTAAGAGTAAGAACTCCTTGGCTGAAAAAATTCACTGACGGACAGTTTTAGGCTCCACATCAAGGCCTCCAGGGTTTTCGCCTTTTGTAAACCCCTCCTTGATCCCATTCAGCTCTGGCTTTGCACTTCACCTAGCATGCAGATGGACAGAGGCTATGAACAAGTGCTGGGAAAACTCCACTGGCCTTTTCCATTGCTGACAGGACCCCCACAGCCATCACTTAAGCTGTGCCTGTACAGCTGCCACTCCAAAGCCTCCACATACACACACGTCCAGATCATGGCTTGCCAAGAAGGGATGCTCTGCAAAGCAAGTGCTGCTTTTGTTCAGTGGATTTCCTTGTCTAAGGTACTTTCACATTAACAGGCATCAACGTTAATAGGCTCGTATTTTTGCGTCCAGGACACAAATACCACAACCCTATTGTGTGATAAAACATTCAAGACTATGGCAGTGTTGTTCCTGAATAAATTAAGGAAATTGGCTTGGCATGCAGGATTTCCCCTGTGCAGTATGGGGACAGGGAATATGATTTCTTAACAAACTGGCCTTGCACAAAACATGCAACTCCTGTGCTGCTACAGAGCTGATGGAGGGGAGGAGGAAGAAGGAAGAAGGCACAAAGAGATGAATAAATGAAAACACAAGCCAAAAAAAAAAAAAAAGGCATTGAGCTGCAAATAAAAATGTGTACACACACACACAGTGTAAAATTCAGGAAATCTGAACATGCTCTTAATCAGACAGTCCTCAAGCACATCAATTTAAAGTAAAGTATACCACTTACCCCAAACTCTGCTAAAGGAATAGTTAAGGCACACTGGAGATAGTACTTCCAGTAGGAGTATTTTTCTAGCACCACCTCTTTAGCACACAACCAAAAGGCTTATGCCGTCACCTGTTTGCATTCATGTTGATGGGTGCTCAGAGAAAGAGGTGTGCCTCATGTCTCCATGTCTAAGGAGGGTGCTGCCTGACAGCACGGCTGGGAAGCAATTACACAGTTCACATGTCCCATTTATTCCTAGAGGCAAACAGCATTTCAGAAGAGTTTTGTGCATGACCTACCTGGGAGCAGATGTAAAGTACCTGCTAAATTACCCACGCACCTTACTACAATTACATTGTTCCTAATAAGTGTTTTCATACAAAAATGTGTTAATGATGGACTATATGGATCACAGGTGTTCAGTTCCATTCATAGCTTTACCATTCTCTCTCTCGTGCAAGAAGGATACAGCAGCCTCTAATGCAAATTGCTGTTTTCTTTCTTTCTCTCTTGTACAGACTCAAGGACACTACGCTGCCCCATGGGTACCATGGTGAAAGCCATCTTTACCAAAGAAGAGAAAAATTATTCTTTGGCAAAGACTGGAACATAAGGTATTATATCTGACATGACTTCAGACCACACCTGCAACACCACCCCATTTCGCAGAGAAGCAATACATATTTAACAGAGGAAGCTTTTGGGGAGTTGGGGGGTCCTCCCCACACTAGATCACCTAGCCAGCCCTCCCAAGAGCAAAAAAGCCACTATTCTGTATGAAACTACTCAAATAAAACCATTTGTTTGACTCAATCCACTCTTCCCCCTCATACCAAGTGAAATGACTCTCTGTACACGAACTCAGACATCACCCCAGCATCCCAGATCTGCAGTGCAGCCAGCCATAAAGCCA